ATTGCGCAACTCATGTGAGCTGGTGACTGACACTGCCGAAGCCTCTGGCACATGACGTCAACAGAACCTCTTTCAAGGCCCCGGCAGATTCTGTAACTGGAGTTGAAGACCTAGCCAGCAAAGAGCAGTAGCCAACAGCAAGCTGAGAACAGCGAATCGGTGCTGAATACATGAAGGCACTCGAAGAGCGCAGATGCGGACTGTTCTGAGATGATGGCCGCCAGATCATCGGGCCCAAGGTCTGAGGCGATGGCACCAATCACTGTCACGCCTGTGTGGAATCGCAACACCGGTCAAGAGACCAGCTTCACAGCTTAGTCCGAACGAAGGCTGATAGGCTGAGGGCATGGCGCCAGAAATCAGAACCTATTGAAAGCGCCGCCGGTAAGTACATCTTCCTCGGGATGACTGACAACCCTTCGAATGATTCTGGAAGTGCACGTCCATATCTACAGCACCGTGCAATTTGCTCAGTTGGATTGCACTGTTAAGCCTTTGGGTGGTGGGAGCATAGCTCCATGGGAAGATCTATCGGCAAACATTGCCTCTCCTTCCTGCAAACGCCTTAACGCTCTTGCAAAACCGCTTCTGCAAGGAATCTCACTTTGACCGAAGGAGACCATCGCACAACATGTACATCAAGCTTAGAATCGACTGAATATGGGTTCAGTGCCCTTTGAGGTCTTGAGCTAAAGCCTGCAAAGAGCAAAACCATAGCATGCGGTTTCCTCCTGCGTCTTGGCTACTTGTCTCTGTCCTTGCCAGGCTGGGTGAATACATTCCTTGTGAAATTGATTTTATGGGCTACAATGTGCCAGCCATGCACCCCGTCCATGCTGTCCATGATTCGACGATTCGACTGATCCAGACTGTCCTCATGTTTTAAACTTTGTCGACAGCTTCAAATTCTGCTTGGTCAGTACAGCGCATCGCAAGTCTAATGAGCTCCAGCTCGACTTGGTCAGTGGCACATACTGTACCACTCGGTCTCTGGTGACATGCTCCTGCACATGGATGCAGGGTGTCAGGCTTAGAAGGGCTCACCCGGAATGCGGAGGTCCATGGACCAGCCAGGCCAGCATTCTTTGTGCAGCTGCTGCCAGTAGCAATAGACGTACCTGCGTCCAGAGTGGTGCATCAATGACCCCAGCAAGCTCCACAGCCAAACTGCCAAGAGCTGCGCCATAAAATGAAAAGCTGAATGAACTCCACGCACGTGGTTACCTTGATGCATGAGCTGCCTATTTTGCCTATGCCTATGCTCTGGACACGTAGATCATCAATTTCTCTAAGTATCGGGCCCACGGACAGGCAGGGAATCCCAAGCCGCTCCAGTTCGGAATTCCGAGGCCTGCACACAAGCACCATTGAAGCTGTAGCATGGCCGGCGCACATGCCAAGGCGGAACCAGTGTTTCAGCCGAGTCGCCCAGAACCAGCACCAGGTTGCCAATGAGATTCATGACCATGCCGGTCACAGAGCAGACAACCTGATGACATGGTTTCAGGGCTGGTGCAGTACAAGCTTCTGCATTGGGCCGGGAGACAGCCATGCTGTCTTGGATTCGCAGTTTGCAGGCGTTCGCAAGTTCCGCGCATGCCATACATCCCGTGAGGTTGCAATTCTCGAGATTGTGGGATCGTTGTCGAATATCAGTTGCAAAGGCGGCGCTAGAGATCCGTGCAGGGAAGGAGGAAGGACACCCCCATCGGGTGCAAATCGTGAGCTCCGCACGTGCGACTCTCGGCAGCTCCTTCTGAGCGCCGGGGGCCGGGCGGCGGGTCTCATGATCTTCTGCGAGCTGAAGAAGCAGTTCAGCTGAGAGAAGCCTTGCAAATCGCAGAAACTCTCTGCTACTCCGTCGCGCTCTTTTCTTTCACCGGGCTTGAGGGCACGCCCACGAAAGGGAGCGGCCCGTCGGTTGAAGAGTGAATGGTGATACGTGCGAAAGGGTTGTAAGATGCTCCGCGGGGCTGAATCAACACACAGAGTATTTGAGGTAACCAGTCTCGCGGTAATGACCTAGCTTACTAATGCCCCGATCCGCTGTCTCTCGCTCTCTCTCTCGAGCTCTCTCTCCCGTCTTTTCGCACCAGAGTCTCTTCTAACGGTGCCAAGGGGCCAATGCGAACTGGAAGGCACAGGGCAAGCACCAGCGCGTAGTAGCTTGCATCAGAGACTTCCTCCAGGACTTTAGTACCAGCAGAAGCAGAAATCGGCAGCGAGCTGGAGGATGTGGAAAAGCAGACAAGCTTCAGGACTTCAGGACGGCGACGCGAGCGCAACAGTAACAGCCAGCACCTTCCACGACTAAGTCAGTCCTGAGGCGTCTTGTGGATCGCTTGCAAGACCGGGCCGGTCAATATCCAGCAGACGGCCACAGGCCTTACAAGCATTCAACAGAAGAAAAGCGAATATTTGCAAGTCATAGACGTCGATCGCATCTGCCGCTTAGCCTATCCCCGCGTAGGCTGCATGCTTGCAAACACTTCTTGCGATCAGGGCACAACATAACGCAAAGAAGCACAACGTAAGAAACCTGCACAACCACAGGTTCAACAACTGTGTCACCACAAACGTCTGGCAGTTCAGGTGTCGAATCTGAACAGAAGTGACCACATCAAGATCAGTGAGAAGATGCTGCCTGAAGCCAGATTCCAACCAGCCTCAGCTAAGCACAACAATTCAAGTCTGCCAGCCAGGAAAATTGAACACCACAGGCAGCTGAGGGCTGCTAAAGCCAGTCCGAGTCGCATCTTGTTCCCTGCCCCGAAGGCTTGGCCACAAAAAGTACTCACCTGCTTCGCGCGCTTGTCCACAAGAAAAAGCACAGAGACAAGGAAGATCCAGTTCGCAGATGGCTGTTTGACCAGATCATTCATTTTTCCGCATCCTGTTGCTTCTTGACTGCCATCCCCCGAGGAGCGGACGATCCTCGATTGAATGAAAACTCCACTTGACGATGTCCTGGGATCCAATGCAGGACTTTGGAGGCTGCTTTGCTGTCGCAGGCAGCCACTTCTCTAAACTTCGTGACGAGAGTCCACAGGTCGCTGAGTGCCGTGGCATCCAAGTACCTAGTTCCGGTGCCCACATGGCCGAGCACTGCCGTGTCGGTGACCTGCCCGAAGTGTCAGAGTCAAAGTGTCTTGGGAATCAAGCTCGTGACACAACGCACCCCTAGATTCTCTGAATCAGCCACATCCGCAGAGAGCTGGCCTTCATTGCCACCCAGGAGACCTAGACTAACACTCAAACACAGCATGCGAAAGCTCTCTTGCGCCTTACAATCGAAATTCGAGCAAGCCACCATGGAAAGGAAAATCGGTATGGTCAGCTTGCTGATGGCGACAACTTCCTTGATGACCTGGATCTGCATCTCGCTCTGGCAGGAATGGCTTGCTGTGTGGCACATTGGCAGCAGCCGACGACCTACTTGCCGCCACCACTTGACATACGACAACATCCGGGAGCCGGGGGTGTTTGAGTCGGTAGCGCTGGAGAAACTTGCAGCGCAAAGGCACTGACAAACAAACCCTGCCAAAAACATTGAGTTCCGCACGGCATTGTTTTCCTGATGCTCTTCCAGGAGGACTTCGCGTCCGCTTGGAGCGACAGCCATTCTGGCAGCCTTTCCCAAGACAGACGAAGCCGTGAGGTACAAAGTGCCGTGAGGTCCATGCTGTCCAAGCTGCAGGCCTTTTGCAGATGAGCTGCAATCAGCTGTGCTGGAATGTTGAATAAATCACAAGTTCACACGCTGCTTTCTGATTGATGCACCACTTATCAACGCTTCAGCTCTGTTGTGCGTGTGCTAAAGAAACTTTTTCATGTGACACGTGGATGTCAGTTCCAAGCAAGAACTGCGCGGCGCTGGGGCTTTTGCTTTAGCCGCACATATGTCGACCACAAACCAAGGCTGAGAGGTGCTGGGTGGAGCTTTGACACCTGCGCTGAAAGGTGACATGTAATGTACATGTTGGCGCTTCGCGCGAAACGTCGACTGAAAGTCCAGCGCATGTCATTTGAGACATGTGGGGACGCAGCGGCTGTCACTGCTGTCATGTTGCATTAACCGCAAGCTGCGGAGATCACTGAACGATCCAGCAGCCAATTTCATTTCATTAACACTGATCTGACACCAGACAGGCTCGTCATGGCTTCTCCTTGCTTCTCACCCCTCAGACTAGAATTCTTGGCATGAAAGGCCGAAGGGTCTCAAGCCTGTCGGGTGTCGGGCCTTTCGGAAGATGGCGTGCCGTCCCCATCCCGCAGGCGGCGCACCCGCTCGGGAACCAAGGCCTCGCAACCGAAGCAACGAAAAGTGAAAGCAAGTGAAACTGGTCATGTGTTGCGGGTCTTAAGACCTGGAGGCCTCCAGTGCCTGGCATTGTCCCAGTAGCCGACCATAGCGCATGCCTCGCGGGAGCGCGGGGGGGATTCATGGAAGTCATGAGCTTTTGCCCAGCGGATCTCAGCTGCTCACCCAAGCGGTGCAAAGAGGAAGCCATGAGGGCCATCTCCCGGGAGTGCATGGCCTCACGGCTGACAAAGCTCGGCCGACCAGCACCACCGCACCTGATGCTCCAGCTCCGGCCTCCGCCTGGCTGGCTGCGGCTTCCCTGTGCTCCAGCCTGAGGCGAAACGGCGAAAGCGAAGGCAGCTGCATCATCCTGGATCCTCCCTGCAGGAGCGGCTCCGGCGCTGGGCTCGCGGCTCCTGCTCGCGGAGCTGTATCTGTTCCTCGAGCAGCTCGGCCTCAGTGGGCCCGCGTATTTCACCGTCTACACGGAAGCTCCGCACTGCTCAGATTCCCACACTGGGACCCTGCTGCGAGAGGGATCCACGTGACAGCCTCACGGGCCACGCGTCGTGCGCTCAGCTGCTGGTAGAACAGTCGAACACGGTTCAACTCAACAGCCCCTGCTATGCGCCGGCCAACTGCCGACTAACACTGCTTATTGCACTCTGTGATCCCCGAGGCCGGCGGCCTGGGTGCGGACTCTCCAAGCTGCCGGGACTTCTTTGAAGTCTGTCGAGTCTGTGCGGACATAATCGCAAGAAACCGTGCAGGCAACGTTTCGCAAGGGTTCTTTCGTGCTCCCTGTGAGATTACCTGCCTTCAGAGCCTGCCGAGACTGCAAAGCACTTTTGTGTCGAAGGTCCGGGTGCTGTTTGGGCGGCAGCCTTTGGCCGCATGGTTCCTGCTCGGTCACTGCTAGTGACGAGTCGTTAAATGTCGTTAACAGCCTCGATGCATCGTGTTGATGCTTCCAGGTCAATCGCATGGACAGACTCGCCGCTCCGGAAGATGCTGATTCTGATTCTGATGATGAGGCAGAACGACGAATCATGTGTGCGCGGTCTTTCAGACTGCTAAATACCATGCCTTGTCATGCTTGACTACTTCTGAGCAACCGCTGTCACATTGCGAGGACACTAACTGTGCCAGCTAATTGGCCAGCCGGCTTGTGGACACGGTCGTCTCGACGTCCTCGACGCTCCCATAGACTACAACTGCGGTGCCACCCTTATATCTCTGCAAGTAGGCTTTGAAACGGATGCGAAGTGCCTTTCGACGTCTTTCCAGGTCGTTCCCTCTGCAAGACCTCCAGCCCAAACCTGCAGTGAAGGATCAGTCCCCGGTAGCTTCTGCGCAAACTTGGACAAGGGCTTCTTGAGCTGGCTCTCCTTTTGACTCTGCCAGCCTTGCTGACGCCTTCCTAAGCTAGCACATCGACGAGGTTGGCCCAACCTAGACTACAAGGTTCCTGGGTTGTGTTTGTCTCATCTCTCCTGTTTGCTGAGGGATCTGCCGGAGGAAGTTCTGGAAACCTCCGAGAAGGCCTGGCTGCCCTTGCTGCATTGCCGGGCGATGGTTCGCGCAAAATCGACCAATTCTGCGTGCCCGTCCGTCAAAGGGTTCTCCAGCATATTCTTCAGGGTCTCTGCTGAAGGCCGTTCTGCTCGATCACTTAAGTCCAGGCTGGCGGCAGAGCCAGACGGCGATGGAGGGCGATCCAAGGACATTACTGCTCGAAGGACCTGCAACTTCGAAGCTTCGCCAGCTTCGGACAAAGCTCTCCTCGCAGGGCTGGGTCCGCTGGGTATGCTGGTCGCTGGTGCAGGCTCTTCGCTGTGTGAGCGAGCGCTGGCTTTATCGGCAGCTTCGGAAACACCCTGTTGAAAGGCTGATGGTGTCAGCACCTCGGCAGCCGCCTGAGCCTCAGCCTCGGCGTGCTCACCAACCTCCTTGGCGTCTTCTGCACGTGGGACCGGGGCTCGAGCAAGCTGTGCGGCCAGCAGCAGCAATCTCCAAGAGAGGTGAAGGCACCAGAGCCTCGCAAGGAGTGACCACCCTGCCGAGATGGCAAGCAACTTGCAGATCACGAAAATTGCGCCCAAGACGATGTCGTCGATCGAAACCGTGACGTCAGAGCATGCCAGCGCACAGCGCACGTGAAGGTCCCAGCGCGTGTCCGGAACCTGTCTCCACGAGCTGGACTGACAGCGTGCCTCCAGATCCCAGCTGCACCTCTGAAGAGCCCTCTGAAAGCCTGGCGCGTCCAGCCTGAGCCCCGCGCTGATAAGTCGCACAGACTCAATCAGTGCAGCTGAGCAGGCAAGGGCATGCCAAAGGGCAGAAACGGCAAAGAACCGCGCCCAAGCCTGACGCTTCAGGCGACAGCAGCACACACGGCTGCGAACTGGCAAGCAATGGGATGCCGGTGCCCGCAGCAGCTGAAGGGTCGCTAGGCCCGACGGTCCGAAGGCTAGCGACGGGACCAGAAGCAGCACTGCACTGGGATTAAGGATCTGCAAGACGAGCTCCTGCAGCAAAACCAAATCTGTTCCGTTCATCACGATCCACACGATCAAAGCAGTTGCCAGTGTATAAACAGCCATCTCGACCGCTTGCATCATCAAAGCTAATCTGCACAAACTCCGTGCCGTACTTCCGAAGCTCCAGGGTCTTCTTCCTCCAGAGATCATGTCCCACAGGCAGCGCAGGATCAGCATCAGCATCCAGGAAGCTGCAGGAACAAAAATGCAAAGAATGCTAGCGACTTCCTCCAGCTCCTGAAGCATCTGAAGGGATTCCAGACTCCTGGGACGCATACTCAATGCAACATGCGCGAGGTCAGAAATCAGAAGTACGGGCTTTGGTCGAGGGTGTCCATGTGTCCTGTCTGGCCCGACAGTTGGAACGGTCTGCAGGATCCAGCCAGGAAGGCGGTGGCTGTTGATGATGTAGGGTTCCTTGACAGGCGGATCGGGATGTGAGCTCTGACCGTTTATTGCAACTAGCAGCGACACCTTGGGCAGCGATACTTGCAGACTTGGCAGCCAGTCCTCGGTCTGCCAGTATGCACGTGGAGCCATACTGCAGGCCCTCTTATGGTCTTCATTGCGATTGCATCCCGGATGCTGTCCCGAAGAACTCCGTGTCTGCCCGAATGTTGAACAGAGTTGGCTGTGCTTGGAGCCTCTGAAGTCCTTGCAGGAGGATGCCACAATGCTTCACGTCGCGAGAACTTTGGAAACATGAAGAACCCCGGCCCAAGTTCCCGCTCCTTCGGATAACCAAAGCGCTTCTTGTGGGAGTCCGCTTGGTGAGTGCCATTCGGAGCTGGGGACCTGTCTGATATCTCTTGAGGAGACCAAGCACGGCTGCAGGCGCTACAGGCAAGTCGCCAGAAGACCAGACTCCCGGCCAAAGGCGTTGAACAAGGAAAGCAAGTCTGTGCGAAGCAGTTCCGCATCTGTGCCACGACCAGGAATGGCTTCCTGAGCACGGGACCAGACTTCGTCTGGACGAGGGCATCTGGACACAACTGCTCAGCAAGCTTCCAGGAATAGCTCCATCACCTGCCGTTCGCCGGATCCTGCACCTCAGCAACACTCGCAGGATTGCGCTGCGAACGCCCAGACAGTGAACTCTCCCTAGGATCCTAGAATCTCTCATGGAAGCAGAGGAAACTGTGCGTTCGGCGCAAGTCGGCAGCCATTCCGGCCAAGCGAAGACGGTCGCCTGATTGCGATATCCTGCCATTGCACCTCGGCTGGCCAGCAGCCAGTTCTGAAAAGGCGGATTTTGCAGCCGAAGAGGCTCTGCCCAGGATTGGTTCGGCAGGAGAGTTGGAAGCTCCAGTGGCAGAGTTGGTGAGCACAGGGATGCCTGCAAACGATTCCAGTGCAGCGGAACTGGGCACAGAACGCTCAATAGGGACACCCATCAAAAAAACTCGTTTTCAATCTAAAAAACGTTCGTCGAAAATCAAACAAACTTCTTGACCAATCAAAAAAACACGTATTGCAAATCAAAAACAACTTTCTCTCTATGTTTACAAGCAAAACCATGAGCATCCGGTGATTTCGTCCCCATCAACAAAAAACTTTCAGTAGTAGTTGTAGTAGTAGTAGTAGTAGTAGTACTACTACTACTACTACTACTACTACTAGTGGTAGCAGTAGTGGTAGTAGTCGTAGGCCCCCACACCTACCAACTACCCCTTTTGCATGCGTTGCTTTGGGGCGGGTGGGGGGGGGGCTGATAACGTACGGGCAGCCTCGAACAGTCATGAAGCCCGTTGGTGCAAACCTCTTGCTGTCTGCTGAGGATTTTTAGGGTTTAGAGTTTGGGGCAGCAAAAAAGCTTGGCAACTATATGAGATGGGTGACGTCACGAAAATACTGTACATACCAAGTAAAATGGTTCTTCCGGAGATGTTGTTTGGGGTGTCGGCGTAACAATGTCGTCATCATTCTCCCCGCACCCCCCCCAAAAAATAAAGCAAGTCAAGATTGAGCAAAGCAACAACGCAGCTAAAGAGCCAAAGACTCGTTGTTAGCAATGGAGTGTGACATGGGCAAAGTACTTGAAAGGCCGAGTAGAAACAAGCTTTCCCGCGACCAATTTCGAGTTTTCGCTGAAAGCCCTCGCAAAAACAAAAAAAACAATGTAGCAAAGTCCAGAGAGAGGCTTGGCAACTATAAGATGGCTGACGTCACGAAAGTACTGTAAATACCGAGTAAAATGGTTCTTCCGGAGATGATGTTCGGGGTGTCAGCGTAACAATGTCCTCTTCATTCTTCCCGCATACCCCCCCACCCCCCAAGGAAAAGTCCAGAATCGGATGCTGGAGATTGAAAACTCGCAGGTCAAGTTTGAGGTTTCATAAGATGCTCACATGACGAAGGTGCTGTAAATACTAAGTAAAACGGATGTGGATTACAAGAGTATGTAAAAGGGGTAGTTGGTAGGGGGGTGGCCAGTAGTAGTCGTAGTAGTAGTAGTAGTAGAAGTAGTAACAGTAACAGTAACAGTAACAGTAGTAGTAGTAGTAGTAGTAGCAGCAGCAGCAGGAGTAGTAGTAGTAGTAGTAGTAGTAGTACTAGTACTGGTACTAGTGGTATAGTAGTCGTAGTAGTAGTAGTAGTAGTAGCAGTAATAGTAGTAGTAGAAGTAGTAGTAGTGGTAGTAACAGTCATTCATTCCCCACGCAGCGGACACGATCCACCTAGCGGGAAGCACGGTCTTATGCCGGAGCTCTCGAGGGAGCTCGATGCTGTGCCCATGGGCCGCAGCAACTGCCAGATGCAACTACAGCGAGCGTCGATTGCACAAGCTGGAAAACATTAACTAAGAGGAGTCACCACAGACATTCAGCCAGTGCGTACCTGGCTTGTTTGGCGTCGTAGCACAACGATACACGGCCACACATCACGTGTCTCTGCTTCGGTCAGTGCAGGTGCAAAGGGGGACAGCACATCATCGCACAGTTTTCGATGCACTGCGCAGTAAATGCATGGATCGCCGGATGGTCGATGCAGGATAACTGAGCGTGCCTCATACAGACATTGATATGAGGGTTCATCAGCCGGCTCAATGGTGAGCGTACAGGCCTCCCCAGCGGCAGCTAGCCAAGCCTGCAATGTGTTCGGCCCCGTGACCAATGCAGAACCTGCACGTTGATTGTACACATATGTATACAAGGTAGACGGCGCAGTTCGGAGCACCGGCCTGAAGGCAGAGTCTCCCCATCCCCATAGGCCACCTGCGGTAGAATCAGGCTGCACGGGAAAGATTATCGGCATGGGAATTGTCAAGTCTGCCTGCTCGGAAGCAGGTGTAGCAGTGACCCCTGTTTCACACCATTCCCACAGACCTGACAGGTCATCAAGTGCAAGTTGTTGTAGCAGGTATTGGAGCTGAGCACTCAAGTGAGGGGCCTGCGCCGTGGACGGTATACCCCCCGCTACAGCAGACCAGAGTAGATCACCTTTGAGGGAGATTGGAGCATCGGGACTAATGCAAATTCTATGCCAAAGATGCTTAAGCAACCCATGCACATGCTGGGACCTGGCGGTGTCGCACCAGAGTGGCCACAGAAGGCATTGCAGAATCTGAGACAGGCCTGGGATATCATCACGAACATTCCAGTTAGACAAGCTACAAGGAGGGGTCGGGGTGGCAGTATTAGGGGGGTGACTGGATTTAGGTGCAAGCGGAGTACGACCAGGCCGGCTCACCATCCGCGGCCTGTTGGGAGAGTCCGCCGCGCTCGCGACGGAGGCGGCATCCCATGGTGTGCAAGGCTGCGCAACCTATCCAGGAATGAAGAATTTCCCACACTCGGTTCCCCATGTCCCTGACGCTGATCTCGATCGCCAACTGCACCCATGCCGTTTGCGGAGCCCGACTCAGTCCCCGGAGGGACTGAAACCGAAACAGGGTCTCGTCCGTGATGATCTTGCGAAGTTCCACGGATTGGCCTATCAGGTCGTCGGTAGAGTGCAGCTTGCCTCCCTGCTTTTCGTTGAGATCTTGTGCAGTGGGATCCCAAACCAGAGTCTTCCACTGGCCCTGATCCGTCAGCCATCCCAGTTCTTTGGCCTTCTGCGTGGATTCCTGCTGATCCCTCGTCGCCTTCAGTCTCTGACCCAGCTCGATAAGAAAAGCCTTCATCATAAACAGACGTAGTGGCTCCGTGGTTAGAGACGGATCCGCCTGGTACGTGGCGTTCCACTTTTCCGAGGTGGCGAACAGGATCGGAAGCAGCCCCTCGTCCCCTGGCTTCACGAAGAGGTACAGCGTGTGGTCCTGCATCATGCTGTTGATGGCATACTCGTGTTTGATCGCCAAGGAGGTGAGCTTCTGAACCATGTCCGGTATACCGTACTCCGAAGTCCAGGGTGTGCTCCATGATCCTTGTCCCGCGGGCCAGTGGTCCTGGCCCCAAGTTGTGGACTGTCGATTCCAGCCCCCCCATTAGCCTTTCGCAGCTGCCTTGCCCTTGTTCTTGCCCTTCCCTTTGCCTTTCGGCGCCTGAGGCATCTGCACGGCTGCCTGTGGATGGAAGGCGGTCAGGGCTTCGGCTGTCCGGGGCCGTTTCTCCGAGGGGGGTCCGAAGAATTGGCGCTCCTGCGCAGTCATCTCCAGGGCCTCCTCCATGTCTGCTGCAAAGAGTCAACTGTAGGAAACAGCTGACTTGAAGAACAATGCAGGATCGCCAGTGTGTGTGCCGGTTAACCTGTGTTTGCTTGCAGTATCTACAGGGGAAAACCATGGTGCGTCGGAAGGGCTTAAGAAGCTCCTTTTGGTAAACTGATCGGTCCACTCCGCATGTTGTACAGTCATGTGGCGCTTCACTGCTGCGGTATCCACACACCATTGTCGACAGATGGGGCAATGATGGGTGAGCTCTTGTTGCAATTCCGGCAGACTAAGTAAAGCATGCCAGTGTTGCGTGCGCAGAATCTGTGCAATGCTAGGCCTGAGGGTCAGTGGTAGCACTGGTTCTTCCCTAGACTGTGAAGCAGGATCAGGCATGGTTCGAACTGATAGCGAGGTCGGAACAGAATCAGGATCGGCAGGGGCCCTAGTGAGTGGCTGAACAGGTACGGCGGTGGTCGCATCCTTTTGGGAACAGAGGAATGGGCATTGGCCTCTGGCAATATGGTTGCGAAGGTTGCTCCATTTGCGGAACGGATACCTGCACAGGCTACACGTGGGCATACCATCGATGCTGTGCTTGTACCTGTCGAATTCGAACACTGCCTGCTTGGTTGTGCGGACTTGGTGTTTCCTGGCTTCATGGGCGCGACGAAGGTGGTAGGTAGCAAAGGTCTCTCCACAGAAGCGACATTCCAGGATAGCCTCAGGTTCACATTCACGGCTCCTGGGGCATGGCCTCGAGGAGGAGGTTGCGAGTCCAAGGAGGTCTGAAGACCCTCGGCAAACCGTAAGACGCACGAGGCAAGCAAAGAGGAGTCCGCGGCTTGGAGTTGCCACAGGTTGGCCTCAAAACGTTGCAGGTCCCTGGTGATAAGGACAGACACATCCAGCACCCCAGCTTTTTCGAGGATAGCATCGTTGCTGACATGACTCAGATGCGCCGGGGATCTGAGAATGGCACGTAGTTGCCGAAGATACAGGGTACGGAGCTGTTGGAGACCACCTGCAGGCAAGCCGGTGGCCGCAAGTCCATATGTGAGCATCGGAGGTATGCTAGCTCTCCAAATATTAAGGCGATCTTTGAGGAAGAGGCCTCTCTTAGAGCACACTACCTTCCGGAGTCTGGACCATTCGGCCTGCACAAGCTGAACGCGGTATTGCAAGGTGGCAAGGCGGGGATTCTTGTAGCTGATCCGAACTCCTAAGTAGGTGTGAACCTCAGCTACCGGGAACTCGAAGAGCAGACCCTTGGGTGTGCGCAAGCGCAAAACCTGGCCATCAGGGGTGTTTTTCACACGCTGCTTTAGCCATTTAGATGCAAAGGTACCTCGGAAGAGAAAAAGAACCGCGGATTTCTGGGCATTGACCGTGAGGCCGGCCGCGCAGAGGACGTCAAGAAGCTGACCTAAGCGTTCTTCAAGTCGACATAGTTCTGGGTATGATTGAACCTGGCTGCCTGCATGGAAGTCGTCGGCATAGGTCGTGACATCTGCGGTGACCCAAAGTGGGTCAGTGCAGAGGGCAAGCTCATAAAGGAAGCGTCCAGTCACGAGTGACCATATGAGCGGCGCTATGAGGCATCCTTGTTTCAAGCCTCGGCTTGCGGGTATGTCAACAGTCTGGCCTTGTACGGTGAGGACATACTTGATATCGCGGTACCATTCTAACACCTGAGCTTGTAACTCGGCTGGGACTGATGCATCTTCAAGGGCAACGGCTAT